ACCCCTATACATTTGCCATATATCTCTCCCCTGGAGACGAAAATGCAGTTTGAAGGAAAGTTATGATGTAGTTTTTAAATCTTGTGTTAAATCTTGAAAACATGGAAATTTTAAGTAATATGACATTTGTTTCCACACTTTTCTCGTCCACTGTGTGTAGAAATGCACAAAACGTTTGACATACATACACAAGCAGTTGTACGCACGCACGCATTTTTTGGCGCTTGGCGACCAGCACGTTTTTCGAAAAGTAACGCTCGCGGATTCAAAAAGAAACGTCTGTTTCGGCTCCTCTTCTTCTTCTTAGTTAAATATCCACACAAAGTCGCCGATAAATACGGGACACGTGAGTGTGTGTGTGTGGAAAAAAAGCTAAGTTTCAGGGGCCGAGCTTCTGATACCCTAGCAGATCCATTAGCGCTTATTTGACAGTGACATGATTTGGATATGAGCTATAAATACAACAATACATAAAAGGAATGTTTGTTGAGTGTCGGTGCATGCAGCAATTAAAATCCCATAAAGCAATAAAATAGTTTCTGCTCTGCGTTGTCAAACATCTGTCAGACTTATATTACTCTCTGCAAGAGTATCGAAATCGAAACAGCCTCATTCGCTCACTCACTCTTTCTCCGCAGTTTCTTTTTTGATGTTTTTGCATCTGTTTTCTCATATGTGTATGTATGTATGTAAGCATGGAAAGTATGTACGTACATATGTGTATGCACGAGACGAGTATTAACAACCGAAGAAGCTTGTTACCGTGTCACCAAACCATACAAAAAAGATACAGAAATGATAGCATCGAATATATGTATGTATGTCCATACATATTTACATTATATTTTATTTATCAATAAAAGAATGAATTGAAACAGTCGAGTTTCATCACATACTCCTGCCGGTAGTATAATTTCATTTTGTGGCGAAACCAAGCTGCTCTTTTCTTTAATAATTCGATTAGCTGAGAGGACTGTGATTTCAGCATCAACTCTACTCGTATTGAGTATGTTATGTGTTTAATATCCTTGTTGGAAGCTACATATACCTCATTTGTATCATCTTAGAGGAAGGATCATTTTCGAGTAAAATTCAATTGATCTAGCTAAATTCAGAAAAATGTTTAAGTTGAGGGGATCTAGTACATATATAAATTTGAATAGATAAATAACCTTTCACTGATTGTCGAAATAAAAGGGTATGCGACTGAGGCGAACCGGGCAAGCCAATTTGTTAGCCGCATGCGTCACCATGGCTGCGTCATCGTGGCGTCATCAAGCTAAGTTGATGCTTTTGCCTCTCCCCCCACATTTTTTTGTCTGTCTGAATCATGATCCTGACGACATTCTTCTCATACACGCACACACAAAAATAGAACAAGAACTCTGGAGCTGCTCCATCAAAACAGGTATTGGCAAGAAGACCATATCGACAGATTTTAACGCTAATAGGTTTGGTTGGAGTTGCACGTCTAAAAGAAACCTAGATACAAAGCACTTATTTTCAAAATTTCACCCGAAAATTTTGCAGATCAAACCGTATCCATAATAAGCTATCCAAAAAGATTAACATGTAGCCTAAGCTTGGGGCTCCAAGAAATTACTTTCTCGATGCACGATTTTGGCTTACAACTTTCACACTGGTGCTGCGACTCGCCATAAGCCCGTTGGTTGTGATTTCATCAGTGCAATGACCCACTCGAACGGGGGGCTCTCCGAATCGGAAGGTCAGTGCTCCATTATTAGTTTTTAAAAATATGCAATTGAGGATCGGATCTCTTTTTTTTGTGGATGAGGCGTTATTATGCTTGGGGATATAAATCCGATTAGTTTCAATAATGCAGGCAGTAAACCTTAAATACACATACGAATGTACATATGTTTTTATTTAAATATGTACTCTAAAATGTATAATATTTGATATATTTATATACAAAGTAATTCACATTTAATTAGACATTTACTATCGTTTAACAAATGCGCTGTGTGCATACCGTTTAATAAAGGAATTTGTACGTTTTCAATATATGTATATAATATAATATAATGTAATATATAGGCATAGAATCGTATATTATAAACAATGATCTAGACATGGCTAAAATACATACATACATACACATATATAGTTTGGTGGCAAAGGTACTTCGCTATTGATCAATTTTGATTTCCCTCGAGCACATTTCTTAGAATATCACTTAATCGGGCCGGGCCATTAAAGAATGCATCGGATTCGGATGGGCTGGGTTAAATACGAGTATAGAGATTTAGTTTAGTTTCGGTGTACAGTGCCTCGTGTTTAGGAATACCCAGGAGCATCATTATCGCTCTCCTCCGCAATGGATCTTTTGTCTTCCGTCTTGGTGCGGCCCGTAAATCTCTCAATGGCAGTATGCCTTCCACTTTTCCCAGATGCAAAACCTTTGACCGAACCCCACGGCAACTTGCCAGCCTCGGAGGATGTCATTAATATGGAATACGAGGAGCACGTTTCACCCTCATTGCTGTGATGAATGCCGTACAGAAAATACACCACCAGGCCAATGCACACCCAAACGAAAAAGCGCACCCAGGTGACAGTGTCTAGGTGAACCATCAGCAGAATGTTGCAAAAGATCCCCAGCGCCGGTACGAATGGCACTAGTGGCACCTTAAAGATCAAGCCGCGGGTGTTTTGATTGTGCACCGCCATAACGGCGACACAGAGACAGGCTGCAAATATGATGAATCCGTAGATGAGCAGTGCCCACCAAGTGCCCGAGTACAGCTCCGTCCAGGAAACCTTGAGCTCCACGCATATGGCGAAGCATAGACCGATGTAGAGCATTACGGCGACAGAGACCACGGAACCAGGCTCGAAACGTCCCAGCAATGGCTCAAGGTAGCGGAACTTTGTCTTCAGTCGTCCAGCCAGTCCTTCCTCGATCAAGAAATTCGTGGGCGAAGATGTGGTGTCCAGGCTCGACTGCGACATCGAGTCTTCGTCGGAGACATCATCGGGACTGCCTGGGGTGTCGGGTGCCCGTATGGGATTGTGGAGTCGTGACATGGGTCTATAGCGAAGGATAATCACGCTGGCCGAGACGATGGTATAGGCCAGAAGTGTCCCAATCGACATGAACTCCACCAGCTTGGCCAGATCAAACACTAGTGCGAGTGTGGCACTCAGAACTCCGGACACGGCCAGATTCAGCAATGGCACTTGGGTCTTGGCGTTTACTTTGCCGAAGCAGCTGAAGAGCAAACCGTCGGAGGCCATGGCGTACATGCAGCGGGGCAATGCAAATAGCGAGCCCAATAATGTGGTCGTCATGCCGCAGAGAGCTCCGATTGAGATGATGTACTTGGCCCAGGACAGATTCAGTTGGCCGAATGCCTCCGGCAAGGAGGCCGCCGGATTAATGTCGCTAATCGGGATCATGAGTGTTAGGGCTGCGCTTACCAGAATATATCCCACCGTGACGACACACAGCGAGATTATCGTGGCTATGGGTATGGATGTGGCGGGACTCTTGGCCTCCTCCCCCGAAGTGGCAATCGAGTCGAAACCGACAAACGCGTAGAAACAGGTCGCTGCGCCCGCAATGACACCTCCAATGCCGTAGGGCAGGAAGCCTCCTTCGGCCTCCGACCAGTTCTTGGTGTCCGCATACCAGAAGCCCACACTTATAACCAGCACCATCACAGCTATGTTGACCAGGGTGAGTATGCTATTGAAGACCGCCGTTGCCTTCACTCCGATGGCCAGTGCAGCAGCGTATGCAATGCAGACCATGAAGGCTAGTATGTCCGGATACTGGGCCAGTCCCGGCTCATGGATGCCGCCCGTCAACGCGAGGGTAGTATTGCCAATCCATCCACCCAGCATGGAGTCTACGTAGCCGCTCCAGGCCCGCGCCACCGACGCAGCACCCAGCATGTGCTCCAGCAGTATGTTCCAGCCAATGACAAACGCCCAGAACTCACCCATTGATATGTAGGTGTACACGTAAGCCGAGCCAGCCTTCGGCACTCGCGTTCCAAATTCCGCATAGCAGAGGGCTGCCAGCATTGAGATGAAGCCAGCCAGCACAAAGGAGAGTATAATGCCAGGTCCAGCCATTTCCTTGGCAACCGTTCCAGTCAACACATAGATGCCAGCTCCAACCATATGTCCAATGCCTGCAGGGGAGAGTCATTCGTTAGCAAGAGTGGATTGGGGGATTGGGAGATTGGACAAGTCGAGTACCAAGTAGAGCAATGTCAAAAGTGGTTAGGCAACGATTCAGCGGTGTCTCCATGACGTCAGTGGGCACCACTTTTGTGCGATTCATTTTGTTGCACATTCCCGACACAATGTGTTTCATTATGGCACGTCTTGAGCTCGGCATATTGATGATTCAAATGCGTTCCGTCTACTTCTGGATTCGAAAATAGAGGGGAAGAATTAGTTGCTTAATCGAACTGATGCACTTAAGTAATGCTGGGGGGATGCTGTTGATTTTATTTCGTATTCTGCGGCATTCGGATTTACCTTCTCACTTGTTGTACACAAGCAGCTGTGGCTGTATTGATTTTTATTAAAGCTCCACCACGTTCTATGTGCAGCGTAGTCACAAGGGGGAGATGTCAGCTTTTGGGGGTTGTGAGCTATCCCGATGAAAATCAAAAAGATTGTCCCAGACTTAAAAGTATTTTTAATATAAGCTTTCTAATATTAATTATTGGTCGATTACTGCGACTTAGCAATACTTGGTTCTGCAAGATTGCAAATTGTATCGGCCTCATCTAGCCGGTTATAATTCATTAATCTGATCCGATACTGATAAGGCAGCATATTTAAAAACAAACAATAATATCCGATAAATGAATCAAATTAATCGAAAAACATGTCTAAAGCGGCAATTCTACATAAGCTCTACACATTTTATACAAGTCTACATGCTTTCTACATGAGTGCTACATAAATAACTCCCTAGCAGAGAGCTTTTTAAAATATTTAAAAATTCGACGAAAAATCAATCAATTTTTTCCACTTTTAAAATCAAAACGTTCTTTTTAATCTCTCAAAGCTCCTTAAAAGGATGACGAATTTCATTAAATGCCAAATCTTTATGGCTCTCTACGGCCATTCATGCATTGTTTTAAAATAACATCACTCTTGATCACATTTGCAGCAGTCGATTCTCTCTGCTAACATCAGCGAATAGCCCTCAAACCCCAACATCTGATGTTGGACACTTTCCTCGATGACTTTGTAGGCCATGTGCCAATCGCAGAAGGCGGCGCGTTTCTGTTTAATGAGCCTGAATAGAAAGAATGATTATAGTTGGTTATTCGTTAACTAGAAACGGAAACAGCCAGTGACTAAAGGCGTACCTGCACAGGTGCTTCATTATGTCATAAATCCGACTCGTCTGCTTGCTTGTGACCAATTCGCTGATCTTTTCATTCATCATTATGATATCAGTTGGGTTGGGATACTGTTCATTGCTGACCCACGCGGCCAGCATCAATTTGTAGTTACTGCCCAGCAGATAGTTTTGAAGAGAAATGGGCTTCGCTGCAGTGGCGCTGGGCTCTTCTGAAGTCGGCAGTCTGTTCTGTGGGACCTCTCCGTCCGGTCGGGAGATATACTCAAAAATTGCTGGATGAACATGATTGGGCAGCTTGTCGATATAGTCCGCCACAATTTGGTCTGTTGTACCACCACCTCGGTAACGTTTCCGGAGTGCCCGTCGTAGTTCCAGAGCCCCATTTGAGCCCTTGGGTGCCGGATTTTTCAACGGCGGCGGTGGCGGTGGACACGGCGAGCACCTGCGAGGGCGTCCTATTGACATTCTACGTGTTCTGACAGACTGCTCCGAGCCCCTGGATAGGAGATGTTCATCCATGTTGTCGAGCACCTCACGGCGTATATCCTCCGGCAGCTGGGCGAATACGTCCAGATCAATCGTTGTTTTGCTTAATCGATCGGAGACATTGATCGGTGGCTCAAGTGGAGTCTCTTTATGGGCAGAATTCTTCCATAGTGCTGTATTCCGTACAAATGTCAGGTCTTGCGGATTTTTTAAATCATCCTCCATTTTATCCTCCTTTTCCTCCGCTAATACCTTCGGCTGCTGCTCCTCGTGTACTTCCACGGTGCTGGTTTCACCTACATGCGGATAGAATATAATCCCATAGTTTGTCAATTCAAAAATTTGTATTACCCTTTCGCTTCTCTGACATTTTCTCAAACATCTGCAGGAGAACATTTCCCTTTTTGACCTCGTTGGCGTCTGAAAGCCTACTAAGATGTATGCCTATCCCACGTAGCTCATTCGGAGGCAAGCCAGACTCTTTCATCAGCTTGAGGACTTGCGATGTGATCACATTAACATCATCAGTGGAATGGGGCAGTATTACTGACTTGTTGACGGTGTCACAAACACCGTGGCCCATAAACTTTGACGCCTCGATGGGCGCCTCAGCGGCACGCACCATCACCTTCAAGCCGATCGATTTGGCCTTCCGTTTGATGTCAGTTAGACGCGTGGCCACTTCGGCACTGAGCTGGCGCAAAAATGTCTCGCACTCGCTGGCATTGGTGAAGCGTATGCCATAGTTGACCTCTGCGGACACGGATTTGCGTTGCTGTTGGAGGGAGAATAGAATAATGCATCACTACAAAATCTGACTCTGTATTCTATTAAAAGCCAACCTGCTCATAGACCAACGGGCGTAGATCAATGCCACGACAATTCTGGTGCAATGTGAGAGCCAATTTTTTACCCAGAACCGTTTCTAGTGTCTCCAGCGATACCCCCTGCACATCACCACAGTTCTGCAGACCTGCTTGCTCGAGTTTGTGACGCATGCTGGAGCCCACGCCCGGCAGTTCTTCCAGCAGCATTGGGGCCATGTAGCCCAACACATCGATGCCTGCACCCAGTAAGTACTGTCCATTCGGCTTGGCCTTCTTGGTCGCCATGCGTGCAAGCAATCTAGAAAGGATTACCTGATTAAAACAAGAATCAAATCAATTCGCTCGTTACCGACTTGTTTGAGCCTACTCCTGCAGAGCAGGGACATCCCGTTTTGGTGCGAACCTCCTCCCTGAGATGGGCCACAAATGACATCACATCCACTTGGAGATCCCCCACCAGATCAGTAAGCTCCACAAACATCTCGTCACAGCTCACGGCCTCGATGTTTAAGGTGTATTGGGCCACAGTATCGTACAAGGCAAAGGCCACCTCCTTGTATCCCTCAAAGTCATAGGGGATTGTCTTTAGTTCGGGGCACAGCTTCAAGGCCTGACCCACGAACATGCCATTGCGGATGCCTTTGGCACGAGCCTCGTAGCTACAGGATGCGATCTCCGAGAGCGACATTTTCTTGTCGAAGCCAGAGCGGACTTTGTCCGCACGGACATTATCATGCAGCTGATGCTCGAATCGCTCGGCAAAGAGCTTCCGCTCAGCCTGACGATCGGACTGCGGATGGACGGGTACGTCTGTGGCTGCACTGCCTCCCTTTGAGTGAGTCACAGCAATGGGCAGGCCACGCCACTCCGGATGCGATCTCAGACCGACGGAGACAAAGAAACAATCCATGTCAATGTGCATGACGTAGTGCACTGAACCCGTCGACATATTCATTGCCTGGTTGCAGCTGAGGACTGATCTTAGTTCTTCCCGTTTGGGAAATGGCTGGCCACCATTCGCCTGACGCATCTCGCATACGTACTGCTTGAATCCCGCTCCGAGTGTGGCAATGTGATGCAGGCGCGAGTTCTTGTAAAACTCGCCGAGAAAAGCTGGATCGACGGCAGTGCGCGCGCTGCTGTTGTTCGATATCGTGGACACATCTGCAACAGTTTTATCTGCCGTCTCCTTCTTGGGAGAGGTGGCAACAGCCTGCTGCAGGTCCTTCAGAATGTTGCTCAGGTCATTCTCGCAGAGCTCGGGCACTATTGGAGGTTCGGGTGCAGCCTCATAATTGGAAACGGCCATAGTGTCATTAGTTCTACTCGTGTTTTTGCCTTTCCCGAAGGCGAGTCTTGGTTGGGTTGTTTTCTGGTTGGTGTACAGCAGATATGGCTTGTAGTCCAACACCCGCTTGTTTTCCAAACAGTCCACGATAAATTGGGCGCTTATTATTTTGCTTGTGTTCATGTTGCGCACCTTGACGTCGGGCAGATTGGATGCTATGATGAACTTCGTGTGCGCCCTTTCGTAGTGATGAAATGTTCCGCCATGGACCATCATAATGTGCTTCAGCTCGTTGGCCGATGGATTCGTCAATCCATTGACGAAAATCGAAATGCCTTGGAATAAATTCGTCTTGCGAAATGGATCGCTGGCGGCATCAAATTGTTCTTCGAGCTTGGACTTCTTCGCCTCGAAGTACCCGCCCTGGAAATCGTTGCAACATATTATAAATGCCTCTTAATTCGGTTTAAAACTCACCCATTCGCCAAAGCCATTGTTATCTTCTGCCATAGATAGCAAAATAGGACCAGCGCGACCGCGCCGATAACGATAAGAAAACCAGGGCAATCCGGCGAACTGGAAACTCAGCCGATGTCAGTGTTGTGAAATTTCTTCCGATCAGATTTGCAAACTGCAATTTTTTGTTAATAACGCGATTAAATATGTGGAAATACGGACAGAATCAGGGCAACCAGGGACCTGCAGGCGGCGGTGGAGGAGCACCAAACATGATGCCCATGGGCGGATTCATGCAAGGTGGCGGTGGCATGCAACACGGCAACATGCCGCAAATGCATATGACGCCGCAGCAGCAACAACAACAGCAGCAAATAAACATGATGGGAGGACCGGGCGGCATTCAAATGAACCCCAACTCCGTTGGCCCGACCGGCCTAATGCCAGGCATGTCTCCGCAGCACCAAATGCAGCAGCAGCAGATGATGCAAGGCGTCCCCATGTCCATGCCGCCGCAACAGGCCATGCAACAGCAAATGATGGGTCCACAGCAGGGCGTGGGAATGGGCGGCAGCACCGGTCCTCAACAACAGCTGCAACAACAACAGCAGCAGCAGCAATCAAATCTTCACCAACAACAACAACAGCAGCACAATGCTGGAACAGGTGTGGCATCTGGCGCTGGAGGCGGCGCCAACAACATGCTGGCCATTTCGCAGCCAAATCCGCACAAAGAGATCAACATAGTGCAGCTATCACGGCTGGGCCAGGAGACAGTGCAGGACATCGCATCGCGCTTCCAGGAGGTGTTCTCCGCCCTGAAGAACATACAGCCCACCTCGCATCGTGACAACAACACGGAGAAGAAGGTGCAGGAATACTTTCGCACGATCCGTTTGCTCTTCAAGCGCGTGCGCATTATATACGACAAGTGCAACGACGCCGTCATGGACTACATGAATGCCGAGAGCCTCATTCCGTACAAGGACGAGCCGGAGCCAAGGATTGAGACTTCCCAGTGCGACGAATACCGCAAGGTGCTGCAGGAGAATCACGAGTACATCGAGACTGTGAAACTGAAAAACCGACAGCTGCGCGAGATAATCGACAGGACCCGCATCATAATATGGGAGATCAACACAATGCTGGCGATGCGCCGATCCTAATCCTAAGACATCCTAATTGTTTAGTTCCATGCATTCTATTCTGAATAAAAATCAAAATTCAGCTGAAACCCGCCACGCCACAGATGTTTTCTGTACACCTACTGGCATTTTCCAACACTCCGCTTGTAGCGCAGAAGAAGAAGATTTTGTTGTGGGCGACAGCGACTATTGCTGAAAATAATTACCTGTTAGCATTTAATTGCCCTCAAATCATAACGAAACAACAGCAATCATGGCGAAAATGGCATTTCAGCACCAGGCCGGCACTGCTATGGAGTGTTTGAGCGTAAGTTGTCCGTAGAAGGAGAGTCTCCTCTCCCGCATCACTCTTGCTGTGTATGTGCAGAGTGTGCGGTTGTGTGTTTGGTGAAATTGGGTCGCTGGAGCAAAGACAAAACTTTCATATTTGATTCCAGATTCCAATAACGCTGCACAAGGAGCAGGGCTACGATCAGGAGGGACGCGAGATACTCAAGTGCGGTTTCAAAATCGGTGGCGGCATTGACCAGGACTACAAGAAAAGCCCCCAGGGTTATTCAGATTACGTTAGCTAGCCTCAAGAAATTGTACCCGTTCGAAGATATGAAAGTTGTCTGTATTTCGCAGGGAATATACGTCACAGAGGTGCACGAGGGCAGTGCTGCGGCACGGGCAGGACTGCGCATCCATGACAAAATACTCCAGTGCAATGGCTACGACTTTACAATGGTCACACATAAAAAGGCCGTCAGCTACATTCGGAAAAACCCAATCCTTAATATGCTGGTGGCCCGCAAGGGCGTCACCTCCACATAAATGAGCATGGAGCCGGGCGTGCCTCTAATATGTAAGCAGCAGTATTTAAGCGGCATATAAACTATCTACTTCATTGCCACTCTGTGCTAAGGATCTCTACGCTCTTTGGAAACTATCCGAACACTTAGATATACACTAAATATACGCTATCACCCTATCCCGTATGTATACATGCACCCTATGCATATCGCACAAACATACATACACATACGTATGTATACCCAAATGTAAACCGTAAATGTAGCAACTAGTAACGCTTCTTGTTAAATTCAATTTCTTTGCCTTGGTTTAAGTAGCCCGGGTGCATGTGCTGCTCATCAGTTGCTGATCTGATCGAATTGCCAATATATATATATCCAGTGTAAAGAACATATTGCCAAATACCGAATACAAAGCGAAACAGAAGCGTAAACATAAACCTAAACATACTCGTAGACATGCCACCAGATTTGATATAACAAATTTTGTACTTTTATAAATGTGCGTAGCAGCAAGCGCCGCTACCACAACACCATTCCAAAAAACTGAAACCGAAACTCAAACTCAAACGCGAAACAAAGCAAATAACTAACGCAAAGTTGTTGAAACATACAAACATAGTACATACATGTGATAAATATGCCCGTTAACTGTGCAGAGATGTGTATACATAACTTAAGTTTTACAATTGAGTTTTTTAATGTTAAATTGCATTTGAATAAATGTTTGCTAAATAAAGATGCAAGGAATTGTGTAAGTAATCCTTTCTGCTAGGAATCAAGTAATTAGTGGAATTCATCATACTCTAACCTTGGCTTTGACCTTAATTATTTGATGCTTCCAATGGGCAATTATCATCGTCAGCCCCTACTAATGAGCGGCAGCCAGTTCGACAGCCAGCCATAAAAACCGAGTGGAAAATTACATGACGACAGCGAGGAGCCTTCTTTAATTACAAACGTACTTTGGATTTACATAACCAGACTACATACATACATCAGATATAAGCAGACCAGCAGGTCTGCTCTGCTACTGTTTAGAAAAGCGATTTGCACTTGATATTTTGGAAAGAAATATACACAACCAGTGAGGGAGTGAGGGAGGAACTTGCACGGTTAGAACATAGAGGTGGGGAGGGATGGGCACGACACACACACGAACTGAGGCAAGATCAATCTAGGCTCTTTTCAATCGGGAGCTATTTGTTGGCGTATCCATTCGGGTTTTGACTCTGCCAGCGCCACGTATCTTCGCACATCTTGTCGATGCCGCGATATGCCTTCCACCCCAGCTTCTGCTCTGCCAGCGTGGCATCCGCATAGCAGGTGGCCACATCACCCGACCGACGGTCAACCAGTTCGTAGGCGACCTTCTTGCCGGATGCCTTCTCGAAGCCATGCACCATATCTAGCACAGAGTATCCCACGCCAGTGCCCAAGTTGTATGCGAAGAATCCAGTCTCTGCAATGTTGCGCAGCTTGTCCAGGGCCTTCACATGGCCCTCGGCCAGGTCCACAATGTGTATGTAGTCGCGCACTCCGGTGCCGTCTTTAGTGGGGAAGTCACTGCCGTACACACTCAGGCTGGTGCGCCGCCCCACGGCCACCTGGGCAATGTAGGGCATCAGGTTATTGGGCTCGCCGTTGGGATCCTCGCCGATGCGTCCGCTGATGTGAGCACCCACGGGATTGAAGTAGCGCAAAGAGACTACGGCCCATCGCTGGAAAAGAAATTAAGTTAATAGTGGCATAAATACTATATGGAAGATGGAGACAAGTGCGTACCTTGTCGGACTTGCACAGATCCTTGAGAATCTCCTCAGTAAAGTATTTGGTTTTTCCATAGGGCGATGTGCAATTGCCCGTGGGGTGTTCTTCCGTCACGGGCAGGAACTTCGGCTCGCCGTAGACAGTGGCGCTGGAGCTGTACACAAATTTGAACACATTGTTGTCGGCCATGGCCTCCAGCAGCACATTGGTTCCGGTCATGTTGTTGTGGTAGTACTGCAGCGGAATGCGGCAGGACTCGCCGACTGCCTTGAGTGCGGCAAAATGGCAAACCATGTCGATCTTGTGCTGCAATTCAACCAGAAGCAGAAATTAATTGTTGGCTTAGTCCCTCGAATCGATTTTTCCCAGCAAATTCCAGGGAACATGCATGGTCAGGTCAGGTCAGGTATTTGCCCAACTTCCGATTCTCTTCATTTGCAGCTCATGTTGCAGCTTTGCAGTGTACGTGGTCTCATGTCGAGGTCGATGTGGATGCCAGCACACCAAGTTATGTGAGTGATTGACCTCGCAGAGCATGGCTACGCGCCAGGGTCGCACTCCACTTGTGCAAACAAAACAAGAAAAAGGCGGCGGCTGACTACGTTGCTGATAGCGCACTCGTTCGGCGGGCGGGCGGAGGGTTGGGCGAGCGAGCGAGCGCCATAACAACCCAGATAAGAATGATTGAAAGCAATTGGTATCCAGCTGGCACTTGAAGCACCCAATGGCACGATGCCACGATGCGAATTGCTGACGTGCACTCACCTCCTGGAAAATAGCTCGCACTTGATCCCGATCCGTGATGTCCGCGCGATAGAAGTCCACCTTCTTGCCGGTAATCTCCTGCACGCGACTCAGTGCCTCCGGCAGCTTGGCGCCGCTGCTGTACGCATTGCAGAGATTGTCCACGCAGATGACGTTGTAGCCAGCGTTGAGCATCTCCAGGACTGTGTGGGAGCCAATGTAGCCAGCTCCGCCGGTTACCAGGACGGTGGGTGGTGCCATTCTGGTCGAGAAAAAGTGAAAATTAGGCCAACGCAAGCGAAATTCTTATTGACGTCACCAAAATATATTCTATACGCGCCAATCCGAGAGCCAAGAGGCGTGCGAAAACAATGCTGCGCTGCCAATTACTGGGCTAACGGTGCTTGCCTTGCCGACGTGTGTCTGTGTGTTGGCACTCACCTGTAGTCAGGTAAATATCTCTGCCCTCTCTGAATCACTAAAACACGTTGTCGATGTCAAAGTTAAGTAGCTTCTGATGCTGCTGCTGCTACTGCTGCTCCGCCTCGTCTGCGTGACCGCTGCCCTTGAATCACTGAGTGAATCGTTAGTTATGTCCACACACGCACACGCGCACGCACTGCAGAAGATGCTGCTGTCTGGTCTGCTGTTTATGGCCAAAAGATCGCTGACCGCTGTTTGTCCGAGAGTGCCTCTTCTTCTAATTCTGTGTGGTATGTGTTAACCCGTTTCCTGCACTTGTCGTCGTCGCCGCTTCGCTCGCTTTGCGCTCATTCATTCATTTGCGTTTTCCCACTTGCCGATTTGGTTCGGTACGTCTGTTTTGCTGGGCGGCCGTCGGGTGACTGATTTCAGATGTTTTGCGAGTAGACGATTATTTAGCTTGTTTGTTCTCCCCAGCGTAAGCGTAGCGCGTTGGAACTCCTCTTATCAGTCTCAATGTCGTCTGAATAACAATGTCAACTCGGTCGCACATCAGAGCTGCAAGCTGTTTCTTTGGACATGCATTTTGTAGCCTTGTTGTTGCATTTTTTACTAAGTATTAGTGACCTTTTAATTATTTATGCTATATTAAAGCACCTCACCTCCTCCAACCACTTTTAATTTTCAAAAGTAAACAAAGTCATTGAGCTGCCAATCTGTTGAAATATATCTGCGCTGGACGTGTATTTTTCGAACTACATACATGATACATGTACATATTACATATTGCGCCACTTCTGTACCACGTTTATAAATGGAACTAGAGCCTGAAAGGGTCTTGTCTTGACTCACTCACAGCGAAGACACAAACCCAAAGATGGCCAACGGAATTTCAAAAACCAAACAAAAATAGCGTCAATTCAAACCGAATAATTTGGCATCAAAAAACCAAAAAACTAAACAGACGGATGTAAAAGGATTGTTCCATTGTTTGTATGATTATTTTGCAACTTGAATATAGTTTTTGTGTGTTTTTTAGAACTCGAATCTTGTGCTGAAGTCTGCTTCCTGGGAAAGTTGGATGGCACGCGGAAGAAGAATAAATTTAATATATCATCTTGTGGGTGTTTTCTTCCTCCCCAGCTGGCCAACAAGGAGGCCGGACAGATGCGTATGGCTCCATTTCCACTTGTCGCATTGAGAAATCTTTTCCATGCGTGCGTGTTTGTTCGTTGTTGCTGTATTTGTTGTGGCTGTGGCTGTTGGCTGTTGGTTGTTGGTTGTTTTGCCGGTGACCCAAATTCCTTTCAAATCTTTAGTGATAAGCGGAAGTGCATGTACTAAATACGAAAAATTAGAAACGTTTGTGCGTATGAATGAGTGCGTGTGCTTGTGAATGTGCGCGCGCGTAGCTATGTGTGGCTGCGACGTAATTAGAGCTTTTTATGTTTCATTTACAACCTAATTGAGAATGTATTTGCGCAGCAACAGCAACCATAGCATAGTCATAGCCATAGCCACATTGCCATACATACATATATCGACTCTCTCAATGAAATGCTCCTGGTTCTGAATGAATGGAACTCTGTAGTTTGAAATAAATATGAAATGTATGAATGGATGGACGCTGCTTTTTTCCAGAGACACAGACAGAGCCCGAGCCCGAGCCCGAGTCGGAGGCACAGGCAGAGGCTGAGGCATACATGCGCGCAGGGCAGGCCAAATATACTACATATATGTATGTACTCGTATACTCGCCATATACTCGTACAAAATCAAAATACACATAACCGGAAATGAGTTAGTTGAACTTCCGTCATCGCTCGACTCTGGATGTGGCCTGCAATATTTTTTATGTGTGCGACAATAATTTGCACAGTCACAGAAAGACAGAAAAGTCTCTCAACATTTCTGTGGTGGCCCGTCGTCGCCGTTGTCGGTGGACGCGGACGTGTCCGCTTGTCATGCCTACAGTTATGTACATACATACATATATATACATATGTATGTAAATATATGTAGACTCCGTTCTATATACGAGCATACACATTTATGTTCCCATCCAAGTACATATGACATTATGGAGTGAACATTAAGGCATCGGGGCATTATCAGTTTAACGAGAGAAACGGTGGGGTATGGCTGAATGGAATGGATTGGATTGGATTGGGAGATCTATATGTTCTGATAATCGTGTATGGAAAGAATTCTGTTCCCATTGAGATTTAAAGGATTTATGATCTGCTTGCTATTGATTTGTGGATTGTGTAAGATTCATTCGTATAAGGATAGTTAGCTCTAAGATTTTATTCCATTTTATTCCGTTGAAAACCTCTGTACAACTTTTACTTAATGCAAATTATTGAGGAAAAGGCGTTGGTTCCGTTCGAATTTAGATTGAATGAACATTTTCGTTTGGTTATCCATCTTAATAAAACCAATTTTCCACATTATTCTCTTCGCTTGATCAGATAATCAACTCTGTTGTGTTCTGTACATATAATTTCGGCTGGCGCTGTGGGAAGAGCCAACCCCATATGGACCCGGACTCAGACTCAGACCCGTAGACCGTGGACGGACGCGATAATGTCTAAGGCACTTCAATTTGATTTCCATGTGGAGTGGGGGTGGGGTATGGAGGACTGGTGAAAGTGCTGCTGCACTTTTCACATGGCCCTGATGCGACTCCGACTTCGACTTGGACTCTCCCTGGGCCACCATAAATGTTTATCACAAATTAAGCAATTTACATTTTGTGGAAGTTTTCAGCTTGGCAGAACCCGCATGGCCCGATCGCCTCCAGCACTGGGAACCTCACCCCTCGCCCTCACCCTCACCCTCTCTCATGTCCAAAGCGGAAAGTTTTTCTGGTTTTTCTATTTTTCAATTTCTAAATTGAAGATATGGAAAAATGAATTTCATAACGCACATGCAGTGCACACACACATACATATATGTACGAACACACACATATACATACATATAATTAGCCAATTATCTAAAACGGTTCTATGCGCGATCCAATGCTGAAGTTAGATACATAAATTATATGTATACTCATGAATGCCTCCTGAACATACACACATATCTATCGCTCTGTGGAGTACAGAGTCAAAGTATGAATATGAATATGGGTCTATGGGTATATGGGTAGGGGTTTTGATGGGTATGAGTAAGTGGAGTACATGTGCGCATGTGCGACAGACGACAGCCGGCAGCCGGCGCTTCCAGCAAAAGTTTCTTTCTCACCAACAGGAGACACCGCCGAGTAGAGATCGGGCAGTGACAACGACAGCGACAGCGACAACGAGATGACACGACCACGAGGGTCTGGCTGGCTGGCTGGCTGACTGGCTTGGACGAAGCGAAGCTCTGCGCAAGCTCTCGACTTTCCAGTCCGCGCGTACGTACAGTGATCTCATTTCGTTTGGCTTGGGCAAAAACTGCCACAAAAGCTTAGACAAAGACCCAAGGAGGGAGTGGTGGTGCTGTGCTGTGCTGGGAGAGGTGGGGGATCTCGGATCTTGGATCTTGGCCTGGCAACAGGCAGGGGCAGAATGATGAACACGTGTGCTGTGCGGCTTCTTCGTCGGACAGGAGTAGGTCAGAGGGGTGTGGCTGTGGCGGCGGCTGCGGCTGTGCTCAGGGGCCAACCACCCTGAACGGAATGGAATCGGAGTCGGGATCCGGGATCCGGGAACTAGGTACATCGGGATCTTGGCACCCCATTTTCACACACATTTTACGAGCTATTGATGGCGGTGGAAATGTGCTTATGAATATGAATAGATACGAGTATATCGCCTCGCCTCGCCCTGCCCTGCCCTGCCCTGCCCTACTCCACTTCCTACCTGAACTGAACTGAATCCCCCTTTAATGGCAACTTAATAAGACTTCTTCAGCACAGGGTTAATGCGACAAAAGCGCATTCATATACGTACCATAGAAAATTTAATTAGTTGTCTGTTTGTTGCCTGCCCTCGGGGCTTGTTTATTGTTGCGAAAGAAAAGGTAAAGGTAACGGCAACACAAGGCGGATACACGAGACGAGGGTTGCTGCACACCAAATAGCAAAAAAAAAAAAAAGGACACACAGGACTGACTGGATACATCTGCATATACACACGAGTATGTACTGCTGTTGTCTGAAGGACCAAACATGAACGAACATGCTGCGAAAACACACACTTCAAGTGTTTTTGTTGTTTGTAGGATTTTCATAAGAACTTTTATCGGGGGAAACCAATCGGAAACAGTCCTCACTGGATTTACTTTGTTCTCTACAAGAACAGCTCGTCATCTCTTAGGGACAACTCAAGCAAAAACACCTCTTAAGCATTTCATCTAATGATCTTTTATACCCTTTTCTGCCAAACCTTTCCCCATTCTTAATTATAGCTGAATCTCTGATGCGATCCAAGTAGGATGTTGTAACCTATTCCAACTTTATCTGCAACTCGTACTCGTAGTACTCGTATAAACAACGCCAAAAACTCTGAGAGAGAAATGTATTTCTCAAGGCAATTTCCGCTGTGTTTCCGGAACAGTGCCAGGATCTGATTGAACGCGTTTCCTTTTCAGTGATATAATCTTCGTGGGAATTTCAAATGCCTCTGCTTGCCACACACAAATACGTGGCCTGAACTGAAGGCCAACTCCAACTCCACCCAGCCCCAAAACAAGCCACACCAAAGCACCTGGCGGTGATGGGAGCTGGGAGTGAAGCTGGTGCTGGGACTATCCGTACAATGGAAAGTGCAGCGCCTCCGGTGATTTTGTTGATTGTGTTTCTCTATTGCAGCAATTGTTGCTGGAGCTGGAGCTGTTGGCTCTTTTCTCTGACTCCACAAATGTACAGATGTACATACATATGTATTTATATGCGCTTGTATACGAGTATCTGTGAGTTTCTTAGGTAGAGTGCGTCAGTTTAGCTGCTGGGTGTTGCATGGAGTTGAGGCCCCGGCTCCGGCCACTGCCACCAGCAGCCGCATACCGATTCGTCTGCAAGCTGTCTGTGGCTCTGTGCCTCTCTTTCACTTCGATACGTGTCGCATTTTAAACAACACTCCACTCCAGTCCACACTCGCATCGATGCAAAAGCAGAAGGAATCGGGCAATGCGATGAGCTAAGCCCGGCTGAAGTTTCTCCCGGCCAGCTATTTCTGTATCTCGGCCATTTACAACAGCATTTGGCCGACCCGACTCTATTCATACGCATTTTATGGCCGGCCGCTAATGAAAATTCCTTTATTGTGCATCTAAATGGAATAGTTTCGCTTTATTCATTGTTAATTATCAACACAACTGATTTCTGCACATTTAAATATGTATGCCAAGTTTTAAGGTTTATTTTGAATGGTTTTACATTTTGTTTAATCTTTTGAGGTCAACTTATAGTATATTGCTCTTATAAATAATATCAGAGTAGGTTCAAGATTGATTTCCAATAAGAAATCATTAAAAATATCATACTCGAAGTGAAGTTCCCGTATTCCAGCATCTTTTATTTCCTTGTGATGAGCTCGATTATCATTAGC